TCACTTAACTCCAGTTGCCAAAAAAAAAAAAAGAATATATTCAGTTCTGGGGGCAGCTAAGTGGTGCAGTGGATAGAGCACTGGCCCTGGAGTCAGGAGGACCTGAGTTCAAATCCAGCCTCAGACACATAAAATTCGCTCACTGTGTGACTCTGGGCAAGTCACTTTACCCCAATTGCCTCAATAAAAAAAAAAAAAGAATATATTCAATTCCATCCAAATGGAATTGAATAGTTTGGGCAAAGGTATAAATAAATAAAAATAAAACATATAAATGTAAGTTGGTGGCTCTAATACTCTATAAATGAAGCAGCTTTGGAGGGTCAAGACTGTGCTCAGGCAAATTTGAGTTCAATAGTCAGTTTCATGGTCTTATAGATAAGAATAGGTCCATATATTGGTATCCTTTTCACTTTAAGCCTCTGCTGTTTACTTGATCTACCTATCCATGTAGGATCATTAGAGGAAAATTAGAGGACATGAAATGACATTTACATTCTGTGCTGCCTCCATTTCAACCCTTGTTCTGTCTGCTTTCATCATTCCCACAAGGCCTGGAGAGTGAGCAGTCATATCCAAGACTATGAATTCTTCTGGACAACTTTAGAGCAAGTGCAGAGATGGCCCTAGAAATTTACTGATTCTGCAGAGTCCTGAAATTAAAAGCTATTACCCATAACATCTGGTTGGATATTTATTGGGTGTAAAATTATATATTCATCTAGGGAAAGCACGACATCAAAGACAGATGGTAAACCACAATTATTGTAATAAGTGCTGGATTTAGATAATCTCTAATTTTACCTACCAGACAAGTAGAAGAAGTAATGGCCATCTTTAATAAAACTCAAGTACATTGTGCCATCAATAGTCACTTCTTGAGACCAGGAAGGATGCCCTGCCTTGCTACTAATATTGTTATAGCTAAATACTGTAAGAATTGAACTCTTATACTTCATGGACTTATGATCTTTTTTCTACTCTTACTCAGGAACTATACCAACTAAGTCCTTGACCTTTTGTCATAGCTTAGGTGCTCAAAAAGAGATAGATGAGTGGTACAATGGATACAGCACTGGACCTGGAGTCAGGAAGATCTTAGTTCTAAGCTGTGTGACCCTGGGCAAGTCACCTAACCTCTCTCAGCCTCAGTCATTCACTCATGGTTATGGTGGTGATCTTGGATTCTCAAAGGCTATGACAATAGAGCAAACTTTAACAGATACTACAGGATGAAAAGGCTTTGAGTATAAGCTCTGTGATAAACCCTATAGTTGTCCTTCAAGAACTCATCATTGTTGTTGATGTTGCTGTTTGTCCTTCATTCCCAAAGAGGATGGTGACATCAGGAAGATGGTGCCATGACTTGCAAATGAATTGGGTTTAAGTGAGGGAGAGCTGTGCAAGGTCACCAGTCTCACTTTCTCCTCTGGAGCCCTCTGGGACCAGTGGTAATATATAGATCAGGATGACTGGAGATGTCCCCCATTCAAGAACTAGGCTAGCTAAGTATAGAGAGACTCAACACCACATTGGCCATCAGATGATGACTTTTTACTAAAGCGTAGAGGAGGTGTGATCTGCAGATCATTATCAATGGAATAACAGTGAAATGAGGAAACCTTTCAGGAATAAAACATTGACTAATGTACATCAGTATCAATATTTTCCTAATCTCCCATGTAAGGTTTCAGCCATATGTCAAAATCTTAAAATCCCAGTTTTGTTGGAGCTTTAAAACAAACAAACTAAATACCCATGAAATGGTCCTTTGACATAGAATGTGCCAGATTTTGGGTCAAGAATCTGGGTACTGTGACTAGGGCCAACACTTCTCCGAATATTATTACCAAAATTAGTTTTGCTCTAAACTGCCCTCCATGCAGCAAAGTAGCCACTACACAGCGTGAGCCTATAACCAGTAAAACAGAGTGTTGGCTAAAGCTTTACAAACGAAGCTCAGTTTTGCAAAGTCAACACTAGACCCACTGGCTCCTTCAATTCCCACCACAGGGAATAAATCAGAATGCCTTTGGTGACTGCTTTCACTGATCTAGGCCTGCTCTGAAGGTGTTGGCAGGGAGAGTTTCACGGAATAGCCTTAGCAGCACACCATTAACTATGCCCTAGGTTTCTCTGCTGCTGGACATGAATCTCTCTTGTTTTTCCTCCAGCAACTAATGTTGAATGCCCAGGAGTTACCCACTTTAAAGTTGATTCAATTGATTTTCTTATATTGCTTTAATAGTTCTCCGACAACATTTGCTTTTGCCTTCTTGATCCATACATGTAATGACTAGATTGGCTCCTGTTTTCTCCTGCAGATGAGAGTCAGAACTGTCATTGATGTTCTTTTGGGGGCTGAATCTACTTAAAGGATCAATGTATGGTTTCACTGGTAGAAAGTAGATTTGCAGGTAGAGGACACCTTTATCAACTAATTCATTCTTTTCTGAAGGTCCCCTATGTTTTTTGCTTCCTCAAAGACAAAAAATTCAGGCTTCTTTTAATATAAATTTAATCCTATAGGATTTTGGTCATCTAATCCAACCCAATAACATTACAGGTGAAGAAGATCAGTTTGAAGAAAGGGAAGTGGCTTACTCTCAAGTTACACACATATTCGGTAGCAGAGCTAAAATGGACATGCATTCCTCTGAACTGTGTTGCTTTTCCTCCAATGTGCTGCCTTCTCACATGGTCCCTGTCATCCAGTCCAATTCATATGAAGTGCCTCCTGGTTGTCCTAGTATTATAGGCAGTCAAGTTTAGTTGATAGAGAGCTGAAAAGACCTGGGGTCAAGTCCCACCTTTGACACAAACTGGTTGGGAGACCCTGGGCCAGTCCCAATCTCTCAGTGTTCTGGGCAATAATTAGAGATTCTAAGTTTCAAAGAACGTCATGACTTGCCTGGAGAGATGGTGTTTCCTTATCAGAAACTCTGCTCTACTAAAGAAACCTCAACTCCAGTTTCCCTTCCCCAATTCTCCTAAGTGTAAAACACTGGGCTAAGTGCTAGGGATAGTGACAAAAAGACCAAAACAAAGAAGTCTCTGCTCTCAAGCAACTTACATTCTACAGGGCATCTGGGGGTTTGGGAATACAACTCATACAAAAGTAAATAAATCCAGAGTAATCTAAAGTCATTGTAAGTGGGAGAAAGTTGAGAAAGGGGAGGACCACAAAGATCTCTGGTAGAGGTAGCAACTGGAGTGAGCTTGGAAGGAAGGCAAGGATTCTAAGAGGAGGAAGTGAGGAGGGAAAGCTTTCCAGGCAAGGGGAAGAACCTGGGGGAAGGGGAAGAGACAGAAAAACAAATGTCAAGTATCTCATTAAGCAGCCGCCATGTTAGGGTACAAGGGGTGACCTATGCTGCCTCTTTCCATTGGCTTTCTCTTTCACGTCAGACATTCTCCAACAGATCTGACTTCTAGCAGCTAAATGTCAGCTCTGTTCTTTCCCAGGGTGCTGTTGTGGCCCTTCCCTTTGAAGTCTAACTCTTTTTCTGCTCATTCCTGAAGGACCACATCAGAAAACTATATTTGAGCTGTTCTAGAACTTTCTATCTAAAATCAGTTTCAATAAGAACCAATAAATCCACGGACTATGCAAAGTTATTGCACAAATGCAGATATCACTTCACATTACACGGGTTAGGGACATGGCACTCCCATGATCTAGAAAATCCATATAAAATTTTTTGACCCTCCCTTCATATCAGAGAAGAAGTCTGAATTATTATGATTTTAAAAGATAAAAATATGTTGATGATAGAAAATATTATACATATATTTTATGAATTTCTGAGTTTCTAAGCTTTTTCTATGTTGTCTACTGGCCTTCACGTGTTATCTGCAGCTTCCTCAAAACTCCCCCACAATTCCTATTTAATTCCTTATAACAACCCATGATATATCAAAACCACAATGGGGAAAGCCATTATGTGGAAGAAATAACTGTATTTCTGATGACTTAAGTAGAGGGACTGGATCTGTTATTTCATTGACATAGGGAACTCCCAGATGAGGCAACTCTTTCTACCAAGGCAGGCCAGTACTTTCTCTGTGAAATTATAGTCATAGAGATTAGACTGAAGAACACTGAGAGTTCGAGTGCCTTGCCCATGGTCACTCAGTATGTGTCAACAGCAAGATTTGAATCCAAGTCTTAAGCCAATTTCTGACTAAAGAGAGAATAGTGTTTAGGCCCGGGTCTTGAACATAGTAGCCACTTACTAAATGCTAGACGATTATCATTCATTATTTGTTTTCCTCAGGAAAACTCATCATAGGGACAGAGAATTAAAGGCCGAGGTCATCTGGTCCAAAGCAGTAGCAATTTCCTACAATATTCCTCAAAAGTGATCATTCATTTTCTGTTTGAAGATCTCCAATGATCTACATTGATGCTAATTGTTCAAAATCATTTTCTTACCTTAATTTAAATTGACCCTTCTACAATTTCCACTCATTGCTCCTGAATCCTGTTTCCAAGGAGAACAGATCTAATACCACCACTACATGACAAACAACCTTTCCCATGTCTGCCTCTGGCTATCATGTCCCCACCTCACACCTTCTATTCTTCCCACTAAACTTCCTACTTCCTTCAGCTGATGTCTGCCTGGTCTTTAGTCTCCTCTCCATTGTCATTTATCATCCTCTGGACACTTTCCAGTTTGTCAGTATTATTTCTAAAATGTGTTGCCTATAACTGAAAGCATTCCAGTTGTAATGTGACCGGGACAAATACATGAAGCCATTCCTTCCCTCTCTGCATGTTATGGCCCTATTAATACAGCCTAATATTAAATTAATTTAACCTTCCCTACTACTCCCCTCAAACCAACCAATTTTTTCATATCTGTTCTTGTGTCATTTATTTTTTGAACCTAAGTGTAGAACTTTACATTTATACCTATTTAATGCATTGATTAAATATTGATTGTCCTTTGTTTTCCCAATAACAATGCTGTGTTGTTTTCTCTACTGAAATACAGGAACCCACTGGCATTGACTTTCCCCTTCTGGACCCAGCAAGTACCATCACCACCATCACAGGACCCAATGCTTTCAGTATCCCTCTCCCTATTCGGCAGAAGCTCTGTAGCAGCCTTGATGCCCCTCAGACCAGAGGTCATGACTGGAGGATGCTAGCCCACAAACTGAAGCTGGATAGGTAGGCACAATCATTCATTTGTGCTCAGCAACAAAGGAGGCAGCTTTTCAATAAGACAACTAAGGATATGTTTTGGCTCACACTTTTTCTTTTCCCTGGAAAGTTCCTCCCCACCCCCATCTTTGACTGTTGAATCACTATTCATTCTCCAATGCCTTCCTTTATCAAAAGATGCCTCTTCAAGAAAACAAAATATACACACATATACATACATACATACATATGTATATATACACTCTTCCTCAGACACTGTAATGACTCAGTTCATCAATCTGTTCACTTCCCATTACCTATTCCTCCAGCCTACTTCAGCCACAAACAAAGGGGGCAATCTTGTCATCACCCAGAAATGTAACACCTCCAACTTCAAGAGCTCCAAAATCCCCTTATCTGACATTATTTATTGGCTTTTCATCTGTCTCTCTTCTTCCCTTTATCAAACCCTGCCCTTTATCCGCATCATGCTCTTCAATATCTGAACCACTCAGGCTCAATTCTCTCCCAGGTCATCACCCCTACTCTTACCACTCTCCTCTTCTCTCCATCTTGACCCATTGGTGAACCAGTTCACCTCTAGGCTGCCCCTCTTTGGTCCCTAACCCCCTTATCATGTAACCAATTGTACCCAGCAAAGCCTCAGTCTTGGATCACTCCCACCATCACTGCCTTCACTCCTATATATATTCTGTTGAATGAAGGTGGAGAAAATCACAGAACTGTTCTGATTAAGTCTACTATAAATATATGTCATACAACCTCAACTGAGCCTTTACACCTGTGAAGCCCTTCCACCTCTCTTAAACTTACTATCCAGTCTCCACAGAAGCTCTTCCAAACCTTTATTGTCATTGTTGTTGTTCAGTCATTCCATTTTGTCTGACTCTTATCCCTCCTCAAACCTTCCATGGCATTCCCTACCCCCACCCTTTCAGATGAGAAATTTACCTCATATTTTACAGTAAAATTTGAGATTATTGGCTGTGAGTTCCCTCTTCCTCCCTCTTCTTCATATCAATGCCTTCTGCCACCATCTCCTCCCTCACCCAAGACTAACTTTTCTACCTGTACAAACAATCTTATTCTAGCCTGTCTCCTTCAACAGATTGACCCCTCCACCATTCCCACTCTTTTACTTATTTTTAATCTCTTTCTGTCTCCTGGATCCTTCCCTACTGCCTACAAACATGCCCATATCTCCCATATCCTCACTTGATCTGTCCATCCTTGCTAACTAGTCTTGTGCCTCTTCTACCTTTTGTGGCAGAACTCCTTGGAATGACCCTTTCTAATGGGTGCCTCTACTTTCTGTTGTCTCGCACTCTTCTTTATCCCAGATTCTGACTTTCTATCATTCTACTGCAACCACCTTCTCCAAAGTTACCAATGATCCGTTATTTGCCAAATCCAGTGGCTTTTTCTCAGTTCTTATTTTCTTTGAGCTCTCTGCAGCCTTTGACAGTTCATCACTCTTTTCTCATTGGCACTCTCTTCTCTCCAGATTTTTGGGACATCATTCTCTCCTGATTTCCTCCTACCTATCAGAGTGTTCCTTCTCAGTGTCCTCTGCTGAATCCTCATCCAGGTCATGCCCCTCTAACTAAAGGTGTCCCACAGGATTCTATCGCAGGCTCTCTTCTCTTCTTCCTCTATACTACTTCACTTGCATGATCTCATCAGCTCCCATGTATTTAACTATCATCTCTACATGAATGATTCTCAAATATCTATCTTGCCTTAACCTCTCTGAGACTTCTACTCTCGCATCTCCAACTGCCTTTCAGGCATCTCATACTGGATGTCAGGTAGACATCCTCCTGTTTTCCCTATTATTCTTGGAGTCGACACCACCCTTTTGGTCTCTGAGGCTCACAAATCATCCTTGCCTCCTCACTGTCTCATACCCCCCATAGCCAATCTGTTGCCAAAACCTGTTGATTTACCCTTGCAGCATCTTTCAAATATACCTTCTTCTCTCCTCTGAAACCACCACCATTCTCACGCAGGCTCTTATTACCTCACACCTGGACTACTGCCATAGCCTGATGGTGAGTCTGCCTGCCTCAAGTCTCTCCCCACTACAATCTATTCTCCTTCAGCAATTTAAATGATTTTTCTAAAGCATAGGTCTGACCATGTCACTTTCCTATTCAATAAACTTCAATGGCTCTCTATCACCTCCAGAATTAAATACAAAATCCTGATTGACATTCAAAGCCCTTCTTAACCTATCCCCCTTCTACCTTTCCAGTCTTCTTATACCTTAATCCCCAACACATACTCTTCAATCCAGTGACACTGGCCTTCTGGTTGTTCCAGGAAGAAGACCCTCCATCTCTCAGCTCCAGCCATTTTCTCTGGCTGTCCCTCATTCCTGGAATGCTCTCCCCCCTTATCTCCACCTCTTGGCTTCCCTGGCTTCCTTTAAGTTCCAACTAATACCTCTTCTTCTATAAGAAGCCTTTCCTATCCTCTATTAATTCCAGTTCTTCCTCTCTTTTAATTATTTCCTCTTTGTCCTGTCTATTTACTTGATTATTGTCTCTTGCATTAGATCGCAAGCTCCTTGAGGGCAAGGATTATCTTTTGCCTTGGTTTTTTTGATTCTCAGTACTTAGCACAGTGCCTGGCACACAGTAGGTACTTAATAAATGTTTATTGACTAAGTGACAGACTTCCCTTCCCTGATCTTTCCCCATTTAATAATCTCACATAGCATTTTGCTTTGTAGTGTATGTATCATAGAAGCTTGTTTTATATGATTATCTTCATTGGTGCTTTACTGCCTTAGTAGCCTGCTCTCCTTGAAATCAATGGCCATAGCTTCTCTAAACATTATATTTATCTGGGTACACAGTGTGAAAATGTACTTGATAAACCTGGATTATATTGTATTTTGTTATATTCAATTCATTGTACTCTGTTATAGTGTAGAAATTGGATGTGTGTTTTCTTGCCCTGGGCAAATATGCCTAGAGCCATTACAGAGGGGGTAGGGAGATTAGTCTCCCTTCCTGTTCTAGCCAGTGATCAAAGCAGGGTTGGGTAAGTCCTTATGTTTCATCATCATAATAATACTTATTGTGACACTAACATTTTATAATTTAGAAAGTATTAGTATTGAGACACATAGGCAGTGTTGTACTGGTCCTGCCTCTGTCACACCCTGGCTTTGTGACCCTGGACAAGTCCCTTAGCTTCTCAGCACTCTGGACAGCTCTCTGATTTTCAGAGAAGTTGCTCTTCACTGGAAGATCCCTTTACCAGTGAAATCCCAGGTTGAGTCCCTATATCTAGCTTTATACTAACCCTTTGAGGAAGGAAGAGCCACTGTAGTATGCTCATTTTTCATATGAGAAGTGAATGATTTGCCCACAATCCTACAGTTGGACTGATACTTCTGACACAAAATCCAGTTTCCTTTTTCCTGCACCAAGATGGGTCACCAAAAGCTACCCATTTCTTCAGGGCTTTCCTTTTTTTTGCTTTTTTGTTTTTGTTTTGTTTTTTGCTGGTATCGTGTGATGACAAAACATTTTCTAGTTGGATAAAAACCAAGTAGGGAAAATCTATGCATGCTCAAAGGACTGCCTCCTCCCCATTCTCCAGTATAACCCCAGTACAACACTAGGAAGAAAACGTAAATGCTTCCATTTAAGGTCTTGACCACAGCCATTCTTGTCTCTTAAAGTGACTTATTCAGGGCTGAGGTGGAACCTGTTTATAAATCACAACTTCTGGCTTGTGCTGATCCAATAAAGTTCAACCTGTAGTTCTAGAGAAAGCAGGCACGGCTGGATGATTGTGCTTTCTCAGATATAACCTGGGTACTTAGAATGCCAATGAGGTAGTGTATCAGGTCAGAATGCAGTTGGACAGCCAACCATGTTTTACTGTTCTCTATTACAGATACTTGAATTATTTTGCAACAAAATCAAGTCCTACTGGAGTTATCCTGGATCTCTGGGAAGCTCAGAACTTCCCAGATGGGAACCTAAGCATGCTGGCAGCAGTCTTGGAAGAAATGGGAAGACATGAAACAGTGGTGTCTTTGGCAGCAGAAGGGCAGTATTAAACCAGCCTGGAACTGAAGAGGAAGGAGGAAAATGCACAGGGAATTTGATGGCTGGCCTGCAGGCCACAATTTTGAAATACAAGCCAGACCAGATCAAGAAGCTTCACAGGGAGATTTCAGTGAGAGAGAGAGAGAGAGAGAGAGAGAGAGAGAGAGAGAAAGAGAAAAAAAAAAACCAACCAGAAACAGCCAATTTTCATTCCCACTTTACTTGTACATTATCACAGGAGTTAAGAGAAAAAATGTGTAAAGTTGTACCTTGAATATAGAAATCAACCTAACTTTCCTCTTAATTGGGTTGTGCTGCATGGTACAGGATTTTACAGTTTCCTAGGAAACGGTTTTTATTGCTATCCAGATATATTGGATAAACTTTCTTAACAGACCCAATTTCTATGAACATTGTTTACATCAGATTTGGACAGGGATAAGGACACCGTTCATGGCTCTTTCTATTTTTGTTTAAACCATTTGAAGTTGAAGCTGTGGACGCTTTGTTGTGTCTATTTCAGATTAGCAATTTACAGAGAAACCACAGACTTTTGTTACAAATCTTGTGCATCAGGTGTCTCGGATAATCCTCCCATTGTAGTTCTGTTTCCAAGGCCTTGTTGTAGAACCCAAGCGGAACCATTTGTATCTGGAAAGTGGATAATCTGAGCGGAAAGCAGGCATGGTTAAGACTCGTTGTTCCCTGTGGGCTCTCTCTCATCCCTTTTTGGAATAAGCTGTAGACTCACAGGGAAGATAGTGACTCATTTCAAATGACAAAAAAAAAAAGCCCCTCCTCACAATATGTGTGTTTGTGATATGCAATTTGGAGTGGTTTAAAAAGTATCATTATTATAATCATTATTATTATTGTTAATTATTATTATCTATTAGCATTTACAAGTACTCTAGTACGAGGATTTACTTTTAATTATTTCTGTTTTTGTCTACAGTGGCAATAGACATTTGAGTGTTGACTAGACCTGCCTTCTTGGTCACTAAACCTTTTAAGCCTTTTACCTCTCCCAATCCCTCAACCCCTGGAGCATAGTAATTAATGTTTGCCTCTGGTAATGTCTGATCCTTTAGTCAGGTCAGAAGCAGCTATTTTCCATTGCTGCTCGGACCCCTAAGTGCCCTCTTTGAAGGCCATTCCCATCCCAGGGAGGATGATAGCAGGTGTGGAGTTCCCAGTTCTTCTCATGCTGTCCTGCCTCCCCCAAAGGTGGCAGAAAAGAGTGCCAAGGTCCATGGATGTGGAGATGAGAGGCGAGTTCTGTTCACTCTGCCGCCGATTAGTTGTGTGACCTTGAACAAATAACTTAACTTCCCTGACCCTCAGTTTCTTCATCTGTAGAATACAAGTGTTAGACTGAATTTGTTCCTTCTAATTGGAGTGATCATGTGTTATTCAGAGGATGGGCCTTGAAGTCTGTCATCCTCTTCCCTACAAATTACTTTCTGTCACTCTAAAAGCACCCCTGATATAAGAGATATGTGTCCGAGTAAATGATTCCTGTTTAATATATTGTATTTGATTGGTTTTCCAGTCTTGACTGAGTGTTATTGGGACACAGGTTTTAACTACCATAAGGAATTTGACAGAAATAGCATTGTTGTCTTTTAAGATGAGTTTCAGATTTCCTGGACTAGCTGCAAAACTTGTGTGTGTGTGTGTGTGTGTGTGTGTGTGTGTGTGTGTTTCTTACCAATGCTAGACCTCTTTCACTAGTTCCCTTTTCAATGGACCTTAGGTTGGATTTTTTTTTCCCTCAAAACCTCATATTGATGACATTTTGGTGACATTTCTATGGGATATTTTCTTTGTTTAAAACAACGAAGTAAACATACGATGTGTTGATCCTTGGATACCAAGAAGGAGAAGCTGTGCCCTGGCACACACGATTCTGACATTTCTTCCATTTTCTCATGACTATCACAGGCCTTTTGTTTTTAACACAGAAACTCAATTCATTCAACAGGTGGGGAGAAATCGCTCAGTAGACCATAGTAACCAAACCAATATTTGAATGATAAGCATGTGTGTGCATGAATTACTACCTTCAGAGCATGGCTGTGGTTCAGCATTGGACAGGCATCCTGGTTGCTGGTCAGATTGTACTTTAGAATCTCCTAGTTCTGAACTTTCATATTTTCCTCGCTGCATTCCATGTGTCCTCTCTCCTATTTTTGCCATTTATGACAATTTACACACATTTAGGAGCAAAGATTTCGAGTGTAAAGAGGCCCACTCCAGTCCCACCATTTTTCTGACGCTAAAATGGAGCCTCAAAGAAGATATAAGCGACTTGCCCCAGGGTTACCCAGGAAGTAAGTGTACTGAGCTAGAATTTTAATCTTGGTCTTCAGACTCCAAACCCAGCACATTTCTTATAATGCCACATTGTCTTCCTATCTTGCCTCTCCTCGTGGCAGCCTCTCTTTGCTTTGCAGCTTTCTGTTTTGTGTAGGTTTTCAGTTTGGGACACTAATGTTTTTGCTCTAGTTTTATATCTCAAAACTACTGCAATTCAAAGTATAATCTTCCCTCTGATGCCTCATGCCCTGGGCCAACAACAACTTTGTATTGCAAATTAAGGAACTGAAAATAAATTTAAGCATTCTGTAGGGAATGTTTCTAACTTCAAGAAATGTGAGAGAGAGAGAGAGAGAGAGAGAGAGAGAGAGAGAGAGAGAGAGAGAGAGAGAGAGAGAGAGAGAATCAGAGCTGAAAGAAGCGTTCGGGTTTAGACTGACTATCTTGTGGCTAAAATTCTTGGGTGGGAGGTCTAGGTCAAGAAAGGGAAAAGAAGAGATGAAACTCAGCCCAAATATATGTTGCGTTATACAGAGGAAACTCCTGCTTTGCATTCCCTGGATAAGCTTATGACTCAGTTCCAAAAGAAAACTTTTAAGTTGCCCACTGATAAGATTAATTCGGCTCTTCCCATTGCTTAAACTAAGTAAAACATTCGTTCCTGCATCAGTTTCTCTCCCCACATGAAAACTGAAATGAAGAATTGAAGCAAATGTCTCTGGATACTTCTATTAAAAGAAGCAAAAAGTTTTCATGAGATGCCAGAGAAATGATGGGGGGGCGGGGCAGGAATCCAGATGACTGCCTTGATTCTTCACCTCATTTTGCACATAGGGTTAGTTTCTCCATGGTCATATGAGCAGAGATTGACAACTACACAAGATGTCTGAGATATCCTTTGGGTCCACTTTCAATTCCTATTTTTGGGTTCTATAGTCCATATGAAAGAGGACACATGTCTAAGTAGCATTTGCTACAAGGAGACTTTCCACTAAAGCGAGATTGCTCCTGCCTTTCTGGATCCTGCCACTAACGCTCACTCCTGTCATTAGGAGATTAGAGGCAGATGCAGAAGGCGTTATTTGTGTTAAAATTTAAAAAAAGAAAGGAAGGAAGGAAGGAAGAAGGAAAGAGGGAGATAAGTAGGGAAAGAGAGAGAGAGAAAGAATGAAAGAAAGAAAGAAACAAACAAACAAACAAAGAAAAAGTCTCTCCCTGGATTCCTGTTCCATTGAGGTATTATATCCTTTCTTTGGATTTCTCTTTGAAAGATTTAGAATCATAGGGCATCTCAAAACGAGGGTTCGTGGCCTCAACCATTTTCTGTTCCTATGTCCTGCATTTCCTTCTGAGAATTCTAGCCAGACAGCAGTAGCTCTCATTTGGATGGGGGAAAGGGCAAGCTGTTCTCTTCTTGACCTGTTGGCACGTGCTGCCATCTAGTGGCTAAAAAGAAGTCTAGCCTGGATATTCTTTTGCCCTCTGAATGTATGTATAAACTTAACTATTTGAAATGTGAAAAACCCCAGTTCGTTGAGATTTTTTATGATAGAAACTTCGACCGAAGAAAAAGATTCTGATTATCCCACTCAAATGACTACAATATTTTTGCCATCCTGGCTTCCCAGCCCCCACCCTCTATTCTTTTATTGGCTCAAATTACTCATCATGGAGCTTACACTCTAGCGAGAGAATGTCATGTCACTGTGACCCTGCTGCTTTTGAGATCATTCACGCACCAGGCAACTCACTGTAGTTCGGATGGCTGCTAGTAATATTGATATATAGAAGTATATACATATAGCTCTATATGGAAAGCATTTTCAGTCTTTGATTATATCTATGCTTTTCAGTTTTCATTTGTTTAAAATATTTTATTTCCTATGTATTTCCAATAGTTCCTTTTTTACTTGTATTTTATATGTCTAAGGGGCATTCACTCATATACCATTTTTTAAGAAACTGAGCTTTTGTAGATGCATGCTGATATGCCACATTCATAAAAAGGACAAGCCCAGATAATGAGGGTGTCTTTGGTGAGTTTATTTGTTTAAGCATATATTCAAGTCTCTCCAAGGAGGGCAATGTAAAGAGGTGTGGGGGTACCCAATTTGTCTGAGTAGTGGAGAAGTGATGTTGGGTGAAAGCAAAGGGTATGGAGAATTATGCAGAAGAATCGCAGGGTGTCCCAAAAGTTCTAACAGTTTCAAACTGCACTAAGACTTTTGGAATATTCGGGGGGGGGGAGTGAATATAATGGCAGTTGGGCACAAAGACCCTGGAGGTATTTAGAACCTCAGGATACAGAATTTACAAAGAGATTTCATTATTCACACAAATGCCCACTTTATATCCCCCATGGATCCAAAACACATTTGTGGATCTAATAACCACTTCTATCCCACCATGAATCTAAAACTGGTATTTGAGTTACTCAGGGCCAGGCATTTCTGAGTATGCAGAATGCATAAGCATTTCCTTATATATTATTTTGCAACTTTGAAAGGGTACTCTTGGCAGTCATGATGATTATAATCCCTTTAGATTTCATGAGTTGTTCTGGCCAAATATTTTTTCATTTTGTGAGCCAGCTGTAGAAACGATGACCTTCCCCAAGCTTACTTAGGCCAGTCCTAATCCTCTTAGGCCAGACCCACAGCCCATCACAGAAGCTCAGTTCTAAAAGAATTTGCAAAATGCCCCTTTCTTCAGGTCATGGTTCAAAATACAAAAGGAGAAATGAATAGATGACTGTCCTCATGGAACTTACATTCTAGCAGGATAAAAAAAATAAAACCCGCATTAATAAGCTATTATAGAGTAAAACAGCATAATATGTGCAGCTATTCCACTGACTGAGTTTGAGTTTTCCAGAACTCTGTGGTCCTCAAGAACCCTGGATTGTGCCACAGTCCCAGTGAGGCATCAGAATTGAACTTCAGTAGAGGCTGCTTAGAGGTTATTTGGAATTTTTATGTCTTTTCTTCTGATGAAAGGGCCAATATGAGAATCAATCTTTAAAACGTGATTTATCTGGTCTGTTAAACCTTGTGTTTGGGGGGAGGCGTTCAGCTACTGTTCTGAGCAGTCCAGAAATTTTCAGGCATTTTTCCAACCAAAAGGGTATCTCAGAAGTGATAGGCATCCAACTAAGAGGATAGATGATTGGTTCCCAGTTTTGACAGGGAAGATAGCCTCACTATGTATATATTTCAGAGACATCCTGGATACCTTTTCATTTCTTCAAGAATTTGATTTGGAAGGAATTTGTCCAATAAAACACCTCTCTCCTACATGTTCTAAATACATACACATACACACTTTGATAAGCAATAAACAATCATTCTTTCTCTTTAGGGGAATCTATCCCACTAACCAACACTTGAGGGGGGGGATGTCTTGTTTCTATCTTCTTTTGACTTTTCTAGTAAAGCTCATTTGAGCATGGAGTTCTCTTCCCCTAGGGACAATTTCTTATGGTCTCCTACTTGAATTCAAGTTTTAAATTTTGCAAACTACTAAATCTGGAAAGATCAACAGCAGAGGCCAATGAGAGCTCAAGTTGGAAGGGAAGGCCAGAGGAGCAAAATCTCTCTTGGTCCACAACTGCCATGAATTTGGTTTTTGTTGACCCAAGATCTATAAGTCTCTAGTGAGAAGACGGGTCAAAGTATATGTTTTCAATGCCGTTTAATTTCAAAGATGATACTGGTACGTGGTCTTTGGATTGTACAAATCCATTAAGAAGGAATTTATTTGCTCTTTGTTATCAAGTACCTCCAAGTAGGAAATATTTTTTCATTAATCAAAATTTCTCTTCTTGGAATCGGGTGCAACTTTTTTCTTTAGCCTGACTCAATGGCCAAAGAGTGAATACATTGAAAAATCTATATCACTGTCCAGTTGGGGATACTATTCCTCCAAGTATTTTATTTAGGAGGTTACAGCTTCCATGTGGAGAGAGGCTTGTGTGCTAGCAGTCCATAGTATAAAATGCCATTTTCCCTCTGGTGCTAGAGAATAACAACTTAATAAAATAAGAAACGGGGGAGGGATTAGCTGATTATGCAGAAGGATGTAATCAAGTAACTAAAAGTAGTTTAAAGCCATGTTAACACAATCAAAGTGGAGAGAGCTATAGATTAATGGTCAGTATTTGCAAAATTATGAGCTGTGGAATAGAGGGAATGTGTTCTCAAATATTTTCTATGTGAGCTGTTTTTATAGCCTAAATTTACTTGATGACCACCTGACTCTTCGTTTCCCTTTGCTTGTATTTCTAGCCTATCAAGGCTAAAATCCTTTAGAATACCCATCAGACTCTTCGATGCAAAAATAGACACCATGTCTTAATTGGTGCCCTTCCAAATCTTCCTTTTGGTTTATAGCAAAAATATTGTGTCCACTGAACCAGATCAATTTGTGTTTCAGGACTTTTTCTCTGTCTCAAATGAGTTCAGATAGCCTTGCAAATAATTCTCCAAATTTACCTGCCCGTGAAACATTACCAGCTCACAAGGTGCTAATCTGCCCTGAAGAATGATAGGTAATAGCTAAATGGATGATGCTGAGAGGAAGCCTCAGTGATCAGCAGGAATACAGAATCAGGGCTGACCCAAGACATTTCCATTTGTTTGGAATTCTTACAAGTTAGCATCCTAAAATCTTGTATGTCTGAGACCTCTGGATCAACACCACTGAGCCATAATTTGAAACAAATGCCTATTTCTAAATCATGAAGTCATAGAATTAGAACCGGAAGGAGGCTTAGATCTAACCTAGCCCAACCCCATCATTTTGCAGATGAGGAGACTGAATGCTAGAGAGGTGAAGTGACTTTTCCAATGGAAATGCTTAGAAATGGCAAGAGAACAAGAATGACTTAAAAACAACAAAAACGTATTTGAGCTTCTCAATTCTCACTATGGCTAACATGACAGAGCATCTAATAATCATTCCATGCAATCCAACAAAGAAGTGTTTAGCATCCAGCGCATAAGGCATTATGGGAATTAACCCTAATGCATTCTTCCATCACCTCACCCTGAAAAAGAAATGAAATGATTACATAGACAGAGTGGAAATGTGACTTGCATTCTCTCCTTGTTTCTTCTCCCAGACTACATATATTTCTGGGTAAGCCCTTCACCCACTTGAATGCACATCACTTATAGAGCAAGGACCACTGCTCCTCTGAGTATGTGTTTGATGCCATATGCATCGAGTTTTCAATGGAGCTGTAAGCTGGTGACCCTCCCCTTGACCACTGACACTTGGCAAAGAAAATGCCTCCTGAAGGTCATACTGGTGAAAGAGTGTGTCTTAGAGCTCACATTCACATGGCATAGTTAAATCTCAGAAATATGTCTTCAAGGGTTTGGGTTTCATTTTCATTTGGTTGTATTTTGCTGTTTTCTTCCTGTTTTTACCTTGACTTTTCAGATACGGAACATTTCTTTTGTTGTTGCAGACTTCCCTATTGCTGTATCTTCTATGCAATTCCTTTTATAAAGAATTCCTAATGGAGAAGTGCTCTCTAGGCATTGCATTCTTTGTATTGCTGTACAGTGGAGATGTGGTTTACTAGTTCTGGGTGTGCCTCTTCTCTCCCGGTTCTCCTTGCTCCCTTCTTTCCCCCTTCCACCACCAACCCTTCCCTCCATTGACCCCTTCTGTTTGTAAATTGCCTGCATTTATTTCTGTCAGCCTGACATGTACAAAGTGTAAGAAAGAATTTTTAAACAGGTAATAAATTATATTTATAAGCAACAGACAATCCTGTCTTCTTCTTCATTTGTTTGTAAGGGTAGAACCTCTCCCTCAGTAAGGGCCTCCCTTCTTCTTTCTCTCAGCCCCATCGCATTATTTTGTTATTGTTCACGAATAAGTACCATCATAACGAATGACAGACCATTGGTTTCTTGTTATTTGGTACGTATTTGTGTGCAAATGATCTCTCGTGAAACCCTTTGTACCACATTAGAAGGTTTAAAGAATCAAACTAGGATTTGTTTAAAACACTAGGGTTTGCTTAGCTGAGGAGAAGAAATAAGGGAATGGACCTCCTTCCTTGTCTAGGAGACATAGGGAACTATGGGTAAAGAACATTATTATATATAGTTGCTGCATCAGTTGGTTAACTGAGGGTTATTTACAGAAATGAAAAGGACAAAAACAATGATATCAATAAAGCTGAAATATTTTTTTTAAATAGGTAAAACATCTATCTAGGTAGGAAAGACAGACAGGATTTATGTGTAGGGTAAACCTCTTGATTTTTCATATGGGAGATTTTATTTTAAAGTGTTGGATTTCAAATTATGACCTGAAAACCCATATTTGAATTCAGGTGCTACTATTGGCTACCCATGTAATTTTAGGCAAGTCACTTTACATAGCTGGACCTCAGTTTCTTCACCAGCAAAATAAAGGAGTTGGACCAGTTGACTAATGAGATCCCTTTCTGTTTTAAATATATGACCCCATATAGTGCTAGGGTCCTACAATCCTCAAACATTTTTTTAGACTAGAAGTAATGGCTTCTGAGAATTCCTTTTTAACAAAAGCAATTTCTCAATGCAAGGCAGAATTTTTGATAGAGAAAAGTAGTGGACCAAAAGAAGGCAAACATGTCTACCTATTTTAAAAGGGCTAAGTCATGGTCTGATGTTTATGAACTACAAGACTTGGTCATTGAACGAGCACCCATTAGGGAAGTAAAGAAGGGGAGGAAAGGACTAGAACCCCTTGAAATCAGATTGCCTAAATGAAGGTCATTCAAACAAAGTGGGGGCAGGGTAGAGGAAGAGAGGGACTCATGAATTACACTGATATAGACTGGAGAATGGAAATACAAAAACTGCAGAAAAAGGGACAATGAAATGTGCTGAACAAGGCACAGGGAGAAAGCATTTAATCACGTCTGAGTTACCTAGGGCTGATTATAATTTTTTAAAGGGTTAAGGAAAGGTCCAGTGACATTGGTTCAAAGTGGGAGGGAAAAGGAAAAGGTGTCTGTGTGGGAAGGAGGAAAGTGGGATATCCAATCGTGTAAATGCAGGCAAAGAGACGTAGTACTAATTGAGATAATGGAAAAAAGCACTGATCTGGTGTCAGAAGACCTGGGTTCAAATCTCACCTGTGAAACTTACTACCTCTTTAACTTTGGGCAAGTCATTTAGCCTGCATGGGCCTTAGTTTTCTCATCTGTAAAATAAAGGGTTGAACTTTAGATAGTCTAAGAGGTTTCTTTCAGCTCTACAGCTTTGATCTTTTTTTAAAAATTAATATAAAAAGGAGAAAATACAACTAGAGTTGGTAGAGAGAAAACTAAGCCCAACAAGAACCCTGAATATTAATGGGGAACCAAAATCAATAGATTGACAGGCATCTTTAAGAGTAAGAGGCATTAACAGGCATTATGGTAAACAAAAGCATGAATAAAAGAAGAAACAAACAACAAAAAAAGAAAACAGAAATAAATGAACAAAAGAAGAAACACAAACTCTGAACCACCACCTGGAAAATTATTCAAGATTACTAATTCCACAGGGATTTAAGTTAAATCTGTTTTGGTGGCTAAGGGACAAAACCAGGGCCATGAAGAGGACTGAGCCAGAGGCTGGTCTGGAATCACCAGATGCAGGCCCCTCCACAGAATCTAAATTTGCATGGCTAGTTTCACGTTTAGAATGTGATATTCTTAAGAAAAAAAAAAAAAGAAAGCATTTTTTGGGATAAAAGAATTAGGAAAAGGGAAGAGAAATAGAGTCCTGAATCTTAGAACTTGATACAGGAGTTACTGGAAAAAAGTCTTCAAAGAGTTAATAATGAAGAAATTGCTTAGAGAGCAACCCCACTTTAATCTTCCAACAATGACAATAACAATAATAATCTCAAAGACAAATTATGTTCCGGACATAGAGTATTGTAACTGTCTCCACAGGATAGGAAAGCAGGAAGCCCCAAAACAGTGAAGAACTCTACTGCCTAGTGCCCACTTAAGCATCGTTGCCCATCAGCCTCCAGACTGGACCGACTGGCACAGGCTTTAAGCCCACTAGCAATCTTCTTGCAGTCTTGCTGGCACAAATTGTCCTTGCTCTTCCTCCAGCATTCTGTTGCAATAAACAGCAGATCTCAATTCTGCCTACCCACATGCAGAAGAGGGGAAGATAAAGGAGTGGGGAGACTGAGCTCTGGAATCCAGTGCTTAACCTAGGTTGGCCCCTAGGTTAAGGAACCTCCATGTAAAAGTAAGATCATCCTGCAACAGCCAATTCATCATTACATGTGGTAAACTAACTAGTGCAACAAAAACATACATTTATATTTATCAATGCATGGACTCAAACTTCATTAATCAAAGAGTGCAAACAATAGCCCCTGAAAAGACACTGCTGCCCTGACATTCTAGAGGTTTCCATAGATTTCTTTATTTCTGGCCTCCCCAAGTTTGCCTCTCTGCCCAACCAGAGGCCATTTGTTTCCCCAGGGTGGTCATCGGGCAAGTCTCTAACCAATCAGCAGCGCCCTGGAGCCTACACAGACTTGGCAGCCCTAGTTCAACTTAGGAACAGGCTGATGGCTAGAATCTGAGGTGGATTTTTCTACTTTTACCTTAAGTTGTTTACCACATAATTTTATTGGCAGTTTACTTCAAAAAACTGATGAAGTTGTTTATAATATTTTTCATTGATTGCATTGTGTTCATCAGTTGTTTAAGAACACATACATGTTGCTTACACTGTTTTACCACAGATGCTTATTGTATTATTAAAAAAAAAAATAGTGGCATCTAGGTGGTGCAGTGGGTAGAGCACCAATACTGAAGATGGGAGGACCTGACCTCAAATTCAGCCTCAGACCAAACACTTGACATTTACTAGCTGTGTGACCCTGGGCAAGTCGCTTAACCCCAATTGCCTGAAAATAAAAAAATTAAAATTAAAAAAAAACCTTATAGAGAAACACCTTATTCCAGACATCTCAGTCACAAAATGGAAGCCTAAAAGAAAACAGAATTGATTATAATAAATTGACAATTATAATAATAAGTCGACATTTTCTTGTTAAGATAATAGAATTTATTCTCACTACATTACCAGTTAAATTAACAAATATATTCCTACTACCTTATTGAAGTACTAAAAATTATTCTCACTACACTCAGGGTAATAGAAATTCTGCCTAGACCACTCAACCCTCCTCTAAGTCTGCAAAAAAAATGACAAACACAAAAGCCAAGACAGAACTAAAAAAATAATGGGAAGCAGCAGGTGAGGCTACACCAGCATAAAGGAAAAGGAACCAGCTTCCAGTACAGGCCAGTCCCACACACCCAGAAGTCAGAGATAGAAACTGGTAATAAGTGAATTCTCAGGAGAACAGACAAGATGGCAGAGAAGGAGGAAGCAGTACAGCTCAACTTTCCCCCAAACCTATGCTAGCAAAGATGTAAAAAAGAGCCCAAGACTGAATCCTAAATGGGAAATACAAGGAAAAACCCCAGTCAACATAGGGAGACAGAGCTATGGAGGCACTGGGGACAGGATCTTGCCAGAAGGGTAGCCATTCAGTTTAAAACTAAAAGCTGATTCTTTGAAAAGACTAGCAAAATTGATAACCCTTTGATCAACCTGATTAAAAAAAAAAGAGGGAAAAATCAACTCAACAAGAAGCAAATGTACAAGGTGAAATCTCAGCAAAATCAGATAAAAAAAATCAAAACCTACTATGCAGAGTTATATTCTAATAAAACTGAGAACACAAAAGCAGTTAATTCAAAAAATGCGAAATATCCAAGACATCAGAAGACCTGATCAGTAATCAGGTATCTTATATCATCTTAAATTATAAGATATCAGTAACCTGATATCTTATATTAGTAATCCTATCTCAGAAAAGGAAATGGACCTAGGTATAAATAAGCCAGCAAAGAAAAAAAAAACCTCCTTCTCCAGTGAATTTATATGAGAATGCTATCAAATTTCTAAAGCAAAATAATCCTAATCCTACATAAATTGTTTTCAAAAATTGAGAAAGAAAGCATTCTACCAAACACCCTTCGTGAAGCAAATAATACCTAACCCAGGGAAGAAAGTAAGGGAGAACAAATATTAATAGTGAATATTGATTCAAAAAATTAATAAAATCCTTTCAAAGTTATATCAAAGAAGTCATTCATTGTGATTAAGTTAAATTTATACCAAAGATTCAAGGATAGTTCAGTATTAGTAAAACAATCAAAATAATCTGTCATATTAAAAACAAAACATCTCAAACTACATGATTTTCTCAATAAAAATGGAAAGACTTTGACAAGCTACAACACTCATTTATTCTAAAAGTCCTACACGTAGAGGATCAAGAGGGACTTTTTTAATACCATAAAAAGTATATATCTAAAATTCAAAGCAAGCACATGCAATGGTGTTACATTAGAAGCTTTCCCAATAGAAGTGCCCACTCTCCCTGTTATTATTTAATATAATTCTAGAAGTACTACCAATAAGACAATAGAAAAATACCATATAAAGATAGTCAAGGAAAATATTAAAGTATCCCTATTTGCTAATAAAATGATGACTTATTTACAAATTCTTAGGGAATCAGCAAAGAATCTAACTGAAGGCAGTAATACTATCCTTTGAGAGGTTCTAGCCATGTTCCAAGGAGGTCATTAATGAAAAGAAAGGCCCCACATATACCAAATATTTATAGCATCACTTTTTTTGTGATAGCAAAGAGCTGGAAGCAAAGTAGGATGACCAAAGA